TCATTTGATTTCGTTGCACAATTTGTGTTTTTATTTGTTTTGCAAAAATTTTCTAAGTGTTGAGCTTCGGCTTAGACATGTTTGGTCTCATTTTGGTGGAAGGATAGGGCTAAGGCTTCTTTGTTGACATGCTGCTTGCCCCCCCCCCCTAAGAAATCTAAAGTTTTGAATCTTTGGATTTCTGATGTATTTACTTCGCTTGAATTTTCTTGTATAGACGAAGTCTTGCTTCGTATTGACCTATACCACTTAGCAAAATTTCTGAACTTGTTTTTTTTCTTTTTTGAAGAGTCTATGAGTTCGCTGCTCCAAAGTCATGGACTCCAAGAGTAGTATTCTCTCGACCCTTAAGGTTTTTGTGGGGGAATGACTATCCAAAGAACAATGCCAGTGGTTGGCTATGCTTCGGATATGACCTTCTGAAGCACGATACCGGTGGTTGGCTATGCTTTAGATTCGTCCACGACCCCTTTTCCCCAAGGAACTGATTTATCTGATGTACTATGCCTTTGGTTGGCTATACTTTGGCTGTGAAATCATTGTTCCTTGTTGGGCGGGTTTTTATGGCAATCCAAGGTACAATGCAATTGTTGCGCTATACCTGGGACAATGCCGAAGGAAACCCCTTGGAAAGATGATGAATGAAAAATAAAACTTGCAAAATTAATCAAAAGGTTGGCTTAAAGGCCTTTTCATTGATTTGTGAAGGATTCACTTACATAGACTGCTCTTCCCCGGAGGAATTATACATGGAATTTTTCAGTAAATCAGCGTTCCGGGGGTTTTTCAGCTCGGTTCCAACCATCTGGCGAAGTCGGTATGTTCTAGGCTAGAGCTCATCATATATTTCGTAGGGACTCTCCCAAGTGGCCAAGAATTTCCCATGAATTCGGCCTTTATAAACTGCTATGGCATTTCGAAGAACTATGTCCCCAATTTTAAGTGGTCTTGCATTGACCTTTCAGTTGTAGAACTTGCTAATTCTCTGTTTGTAAGCTGCCAGTCTATCTTGAGCCGAATCTCAGACTTCATCTAGAAAATCAAGGGATTCTCTCAACAGTTGCTCATTTTCATTGGCTGAGAAGCTATGCACCCGCAGAATTTCAATGCCTATTTCCACTAGAAGCACAGCCTCGGATCTATACACCTGCTCAAAAGGTGAATGTCCCGTAGCCTCTTATTTAATTGTCCGAAGTGAAAGGAATGGTGTCCTTCGAACAAGTGTATTATTCCGATAGAGCGTTCGGAATTATTAGAAAGCTAATTATTCAGTGAGGTCAAGTAATCGGAATGCCTAGCTGGAGGCCGCTTCCGATCAGTAATATTAATGCATAATTAATATTACAGCTTAATCTTGACTGAACCCTTCGGGTAACACCCAATCGAGTAACCGAACCGAAACGACGAATTAATCCGAAAAAATAAATGAGTTATTAGAGTATTACGAACAAAGACGACGGTTATCAAGCTTAGAGCGTCAAAACCGAGCATGATAAGTGGAGTCGAATTTAGGATTCGACGAGATGAGAAATCAAGCAAACGACAAGTTAAAGCTAAGCCATAGCTTCGCATTGGCATAGCCATGCGAAGGCTAAGCTAGCATAGGGCACCAACCGCAATGCATGGCTATGCCGCAAGCCAAGCATGCAGGAGCGTGTTGGGCTTGCTGGCTGAGCATGCTTGCGGGGTTGGTGCGCTTAGTCGCATGCAAGCTAGCACCAGCACGCACCAAAGCATCGCTGGGCTAGCAAGGGGCGTGGCAGCTGCTCGCTCATGGGGCAGCAACGCCTAGCTATCATGCTAGGCCATGAGCAGCAAAGCCGCCGAGCACGCAAGCTGGCCTATGCTTGGGCTGGCTGTGCCACACAGCAAGGCTGGCAACCAGCCAATGCCCAGCCACAGCACTTGCGTGTGGGAGCTTGTGCGTGTAGGAGCTTATGCGTGAGGGAGTAGGGATGTCAATGGGGCGGGGCGGGGTGGATGTTGGCCTTCCCATCCCCATTCCCATCTAAAATTTTCATCCCCATCCCCGCGCCGGGTCTAAAATTCATCCTCATTCCCTCCCCGACAGGTACAATTCAAAAACCATCCCCGCCCCAACCCCCACTTAGATATCCACCCCCACGTAAGACCCGCCTAATCCTCGCCTCTAAAATACACAATCCTTCAAAATTAATAAAGATTGCAAAGAGAAAAAAAATTATTGTTAATATTACAAATTTTTTTGTTTATAATATAAGTGTATTACAAAGTATTATATTTACTATTTTATTTTACATAATCCTTTTGTTTTTCAAAATATATGGATGAAGGATGGGGGGGTACGAAGTGGGGCGGGTACAACTTAAAATCCACCCCCGCCCCATCACCCATGGCGGGTATGGTTTTTATCCCCATCCCCGCCCCATCATTCGCCAAACCAGTTGGGGCGGGGATGGGGCGGGTCTCCTATTTGACCCGCCCCACTGACATCCCTATGTGGGAGCTTGTGTGTGTAGGTTTGCTTGGGGAGCAAGGGGAGGGTGGTCTTAAACACACAGATGTATGTGGACTAATGAGCACAACTGCAAGAAATGGTTATCGCTATTTTATCACTTTCATAGAGGACTTTAGTAGATATGGCTACGTCTACCTTATGTCGCACAAATCTGAACCTTTCGAGAAGTTCAAAGAGTTTCAAAGTGAAGTGGAAAACCAGCTTGGCAAGAATATCAAAGCACTTCGATTGGATCGAGTTGGCGAATATTTGAGCCACGAATTCGACGATCATCTGAAAGAACATGGTATTCTCTCAGAGTTGACACCTCCTGGAACCCGCAATGGAATGGAGTGTCAAAAAGGAGAAATCGAATTTTGTTATACATGGTTCTATTAATGATAGGCCTTAGTAATATACCTATCTCTTTCTGGGGACACGCACTTTTAACCGCGACACTCACACTGAACCGCGCTCCGTCAAAAGCTGTTGAAAAGACTCCATATGAATTATGGACGAAGAAACCACCAAGGTTGTCTTTTCTTAAGATTTGGGGTTGCGAAGCATATGTCAAAAGATTAATTTCCGACAAGCTTGCATCAAAATCTTATAAGTGTTTCTTTGTGGGCTATCCAAAGAAATGATAAGCCGTGTTTTGTGCATAATTGTTAGCCTCTTTTTAGTTGTTCTTATTAGTCTAGCTTAATATTTTAGTTCATTTTGGTTTGATTTGGTTTAGTTTCAATGATTCGATACTTTTATGGGTAGTTTCGTTGTTTTTGATGTATTTCAGGATTAACGAAGCTAATTTAGAGATTTCATGAAGTCATGAGACTAAACCGAGGCCCACGGACCTTCACGAAGCTCGTTGGTCGAAGAACGAGTCACTTAGGCCTTTTTGGAGTCAAGCATGGCCATGTTTAAGAGAGGCATGCCCATGCTCAGCTTAGGCACGTGCGTGCCTAAGCCTCAGAAACTGAGGGAAATTCTCTGGAAGTGAGACACGTCCATGTCTCATAGAGGCACGTCCGTGTTTCTAATGCTGCCTTTGAATCTGCATATGAGGCACGTCCGTGCCCAATATAGGCACGTCCGTGCCTGGAGTCCAGAAGATGAGAAAAACCTTACTCGAAGTGAGGCACGTCCTTGCCTCTTGTAGGCACATCCGTGCCTTATAGGGGGGTTATGCGCCGAGTTTTCTTACGTTTTCTTATCTTTTTGTTGGGAGTATAAATACCCCAGACTTTATTATATTTCACGACCTAGCATTCCTTATTAGACCTAGTTTTCTCTAAAACTTTTATGTTACTTTTGTAATTTAAGATTCAAGTTCTACTTTTGCAATCTCCATTTATTTCAAGATTTGGTATTTTCCTTTCATCCCTTATTTCTTAATTATGTTTTCTTTGATTATTTTTGTTATTGCTTATTTCAATATGTGTAAGTAGTTTTTATATTCCAAGATCTAGGGTAGCCCAATTGTGATTGATGCATGAATTGATTCTTTAAATTCTCTAATGACAATTGCGATTATTTATGCTAATTTGATTTTGATTATGCCAATACTAGATTAGAGATAATTAGTATTGTTATTATTCCATAGTTTTAATCACAACGAGAGTTGGGTTTTAACGGATTTGAATAGATCAATTTAGGGTTTGAGATTCATCACGAGAGTAGTTGAGTTGATAATTGGGAAGCGAAGTAAAGTGTTTGATGTCTCTAATTTGCATGATTCCATGAGAATAGGCTTGATTGTGATTAAAGAAGTCATTGATACTCGAGAGAGGTCCTTGGTATTGATTAGGGTTTGCTTTTCCCAATGTTAATTGGATTTGTATGCTAGGGGTAGATAGATAATTGCATCGATCGTAATTGTGGTGATACTTGATCTTGGATGTTTTAGTTCATTGATTTATCACATTCTTTAGATTTATTGAGTTCTTTATATATTAGTTCTTAGAATATTTCACCATTGATTGTTACTTGCTTAGTGATTATTTGAGTCTATTTAATTAGGTGAACCTTAGTCTCTTGGGATTCGATCCTTACTTGCCCGTCTACATAGTAGTAGTCTCGTTAAGTTATTTTTGTTAGGTACGCGACACACCTATCAGATTTTGGCGCCGTTGCCTGGGACTAACGGTTTCTTTCCGATTGTTTGTGATTCATTTTTACTAAGCTTACGATTTGTTGCTTCGGCTATTGCCCCTTGTATTTTTTATCTCCTCTTTTTAGTTCTTTGTTGCATGCAAACTCGATGTTCAGGTTTAGACAGCTTAACACCTTTTGACTCTGAAATTGAAGCTACTACAAGGAGACAAAGAGGTAGAAGAAGGAGACATCAAAATACAAGTAAAATGACCGAAAGAATCAACTCTTTACTGGAGTACGACATTCCTGATACCTCAATCGAGCTCCTACCCAGCATTGTCAGACCACCTATTACTGCTCAGAGCTTTGAATTAAAAACTCCATTCATACAGTTCATCTCCAATGACTCATTTGTAGGCACACCTCATGAATGCATGGTAGTCACATAGACAGTTTCTTGGAGAAGTGTGACACCATAAGGAACGAGCTAGCTACCTTTCGTCAATCTGATGATGAGTCTTTATATGAGGCATGGAGAAAATTCAAGCGCTTACAGAGACAATGCCCTCATCACGGTATCCCAGAGTGGATGTTAATCCAAACATTCTACAATGGTCTGACCCATGAGTTCCGCATATACATTGATGCTGCATCCGGGGGTTCTCTCATGACTAAGAACCCAACTGAAGCCAAAGAGCTAATTGAGAAGATGGCAGCCAATGATAATTATCATCCAGGAGGTCGACATAGTGTGAAGAAGGGAGGAAAATTAGATGTTGATGCTCTAACTCTTTTGACTAGCTCTGTGCAGGCATTGACAAGCAAGTTTGACAGACTCCAAGCCGGAACATCTACTAGCTCACTGGAGACCTATGAGATGTGTAATGTGCAGGGTCACATTGCACCTAATTGCCCGAAAAATTCCAGTGAGATGTCAATTGAGGAGGCTAATGCTTTCTACACCTCTAATCCTAAAAGGTCGTATGATCCTCATTTAAACACATACAATGAAGGGTGGAGAAATCATCTGGACTTCTCTTATATGAACACTCAAGCTCAATTGAATTTTCTGTTGCCACCACCTAGTTTTCAAGCAAGGGCATCTTTTAATCACCAACCCATGAATCAACAATTACCACCGCAAACTTCAAAATACAATCTTGATTCCATTGTGGAGACTTTCACTACTTCCCAACTTCGACAGCAAGAGCTTATGAAAAAGCAATTTAAGCTACAAGCAAAGCAAAATGAACACTTTGAAAGCTCGATTCAAATGCTTATTGCTCAAAATAAGTGGATAGAAACTCACCTTTCTCAACTTTCACAACAAGTGAGTTATTTATCAACTCTTCATGATCAACCAAAAGTTCAAAAGGAACAATGCAATGCAGTTTTCTTGAGAAGAGATGAATTATTTTCAAGGAAAATAGATGAAAAAGTGTGCAGTGTGGAGTCAAGAAAAGATGAAAAGTGTGAGGATGTAAAAAGTCCCAAATATGTTGCTCCACCGGCCTATGAGGAACCGATGCGCTTCTCCCAAAGGTTGGCAAAAGCCGTGCTCGATAAACATTTTGGAAAATATTGCGAGACTCTTAAAAAGGTACATGCTTCCATTCCTTTTTTCTGATATTTTAATTCAAATGCCTCAATTTGCAAAATTTGTGAAGGAAATTAAAGATCAACATGATGATAAGGAAGTAGTAAATGAGAAATGCTCTACTCTTTTACGTGATAGCCTACCACCTAAGCTGCATGATCCTGGTAGTTTTATTATTCCCTGTATGATAAACGAAATATTTTTTGACAGGGTCTTGTGTGATTTAGGTGCTAGTGTAAATTTAATGCCTTATTCATTATATGAAAAAATTAGGTTTGCAAAAACTTAAACCTTCCCATATTTCTCTTCAAATGGCTGATAGGACTGCTAGACTCCCTAAAGGTGTGGTTGAGGATGTATTAGTTAAGGTTGGTGAACTTGTTTTTCCTGTTGATTTTGTTGTTATGGATATGAAAGAAGACCATAAGATCCCGATTATATTTGGTCGCCCATTCCTTGCCACAAGTCAAGCTCTAATAGATGTTCTAAAAAGACAAGTGACCATTAGGGCCCAGGATAAACAAGTAGTGTTTAAGCTCTTTAATGAACATAATTTTATATTTGATGGTCGTACTTGTTTAAGAATTGATGCTACTAACCCTTTGGTTGATAAGTGTGTATGTGATCGAAATCTTGTGAGAAACGAGGACAATATTCCACCAAATGATGTGTTTAGCTACATGAAAGTAAGTTCGGATACAAAGCATGTCAAATATAAAATGAAGGAGTCATTTGGAGGCGGATATTTTTATGGGCAACATCGCGGAGTTTCTTCTTTGTGTGGTGACCCAGGCTGAGCTAATAAAGAAGGTCAAGCTTAAGACCTTAAACAAGCGCTAAATGGGAGGCAACCCATTCCTTTTTATTTTTTTTATTTTTTTTATTTTTTTTTATTTTTTTGCCTTTTACATTTTTATTTTCCTGTTTTGTTAGTGTCTAGAAAACAAGCAAACAAAAAGGTCATCACCTCCCCGAGGTATGATTTTCCCCCTCTTGATCAGTAGACCTGTTTCCCTCTCCCCTTGTCCATTTTACACTGATTTATGCATACATTGAGGACAATGTATGGTTTAGCTTGGGGGAGGGTTCATTTTTCACCATGTATATATTAGGTTTTTTTTAGTCCTTGGTTAGTTTTTCTTTCTTATTAGTGTCTTTGATATGTCATTACACGCTTATGCTTCTATGATAATGATCATACATGTGTGCTTTGTGAAAAGTTTTTTTTCGAAAACCCATTTACCAATTTGCTTGGAATAGAGTAGGTTTGTGGGTAGGATGGTCTCCCCGCTCTACTTATGTGAATAGTTTGTGTACCTGGTGAGATTTTTGAGCCATATTTGACTAATTTCATTCTAACTCAGCCGTACTTTTTCATGTGTGATTAGTTGTCCTTCATGTAATTGAATTCTTGGCTTTGCTCTTTGACTATTTGAGACTTAAATGATGCATGTTGCGGAAAAGTGATTGAAATTTACCTTGTAGAGAATAGAGCCTCAACTTTCTAGGTCCGCATAAATTTTATTTTTATTTTTGCATTCACCCGTAGGTTGAGCCACTTTAAGCCGTGTTTTCCCTTTTCTTGATACCCTACATTTAAAGCCATAAAGCCATTTTTGTAGGTTTCTTTTGAAGGAGCATTACACTTGTTTAAGCCCTATGAGTGACTTGTGAAAAAAAAAAAAAAAAAAAGAAAAAAAAAAGAAGAAATTTTAAAATCCCATATATCCATACCTCAAAACAAATAGGAGTTCTAAAAGTCTTCCTAAATCGTAAAATGCTATAAATCCCTTCTTTTTGCAAGTTTATAAAAGAGAGAGAAAAAAATGTGTGATTGAAAAAAAAAGGGTTATGCTTATATTGTATGAAGTTGGAGGAAATAAGGTTGGTCTGAACCCGATATTTGAATGTGTAGGGGGATTAGCACCACATTCCCAAATAACGTTGTCCAACCCTCTATTAACCAAGCTTACCCTTCTTGGATTTCATGATTTTCGCAACTGCATCAATCTTTGAAAGTGGAGAAAGTCACATTGCAAGTCTAAAGAGGACAATTCATGTGAAGTTGACATGCATTTTATGCCTAGGTTGAGTGATCTCATATTTCACCCCGTAAATACATGAGCGTTTATTGCTTTTATTTTTCACAATTAAAGTGAGAGTTATTCATGTTTGTGTGAGTTGGTTTGGGGAGATGTGTGGTAAGATGTTTGTCGATTCCAAGTACGAGAGGTTTATGGTGGTTTTATGCACATTGATTCTAATTTTTGCTTTCCTATTGATTTCAATTGATGGCACATTATGATGATTTAAGAAGTTGTCTTGCTCTTCCTTTGTGATTCATGGTTGAATGCTTGAGGACAAGCATTAGTTTAGCTTGGGGGAGTTTGATAAGCCGTGTTTTGTGCATAATTGTTAGCCTCTTTTTAGTTGTTCTTATTAGTCTAGTTTAGTATTTTAGTTCATTTTGGTTTCGATGATTCGATGCTTTTATGGGTAGTTTTGTTGTTTTTGATGTATTTCAGGATTAACGAAGCTAATTTAGAGATTTTATGAAGTCACGAGACTAAACCGAGGCCCACGGACCTTCACGAAGCTCGTTGGTCGAAGAACGAGTCACTTAGGCCATTCTGGAGTCAAGCACGACCATGTTTAAGAGAGGCACGCCCACACCCAGCTTAGGCACGTCCGTGCCTGAGCCTTAGAAACTGAGGGAAATTCCCTAGAAGTGAGACACGTCCGTGTCTCATAGAGGCACGTCCGTGTCTCTGCTGCTGCCTTCGAATCTGCATATGAGGCATGTCCATGCCCAATATAGGCACGTCCGTGCCTGGAGTCTAGAAGATGAGAAGAACCTTACTCGAAGTGAGGCACATCTGTGCCTCTTGTAGGCACGTCTGTGCCTCTTAGGAGGGTTATGCGCTGAATTTTCTTACGTTCTCTTATCTTTTTGTTGGGAGTATAAATACCCCAGACTTTATTATATTTCACGACCTAGCATTCCTTATTAGACCTAGTTTTCTCTAAAACTTTTACGTTGCTTTTGTAATTTAAAATTCATGTTCTACTTTTGCAATTTCCATTTATTTCAAGATTTGGTATTTTCCTTTCATCCCTTATTTCTTAATTATGTTTTCTTTGATTATTTTTGCTATTTCTTATTTCAATATGTGTGAGTATTTTTTATATTCCAAGATCTAGGGTAGCCCAATTGTGATTGATGCATGAATTGATTCTTTAAATTCTCTAATGACAATTGCGATTATGCTAATTTGATTGTGATTATGCCAATACTAGATTAGAGATAATTAGTATTTTTATTATTCCATAGTTTTAATCACAACGAGAGTTGGGTTTTAACGGATTTGAATAGATCAATTTAGGGTTTGAGATTCATCACGAGAGTAGTTGAATAAATAATTGGGAAGCGAAGTAAAGTGTTTGATTTCTCTAATTTGCATGATTTCATGAGAATAGGCTTGATTATGGTTAGAGAAGCCATTGATACTCGAGAGAGGTCCTTGGTATTGATTAGGGTTTGCTTTTGCCCATGTTAATTGGATTTGTATGCTAGGGGTAGATAGATAATTCCATCGATCGTAATTGTGGTGATACTTGATCTTGGATGTTTTAGTTCATTGATTTATCACATTCTTTAGATTTATTGAGTTCTTTATATATTAGTTCTTAGAATATTTCACCATTGATTGTTACTTGCTTAGTGATTATTTGAGTCTATTTAATTAGGTGAACCTTAGTCTCTTGGGATTCGATCCTTACTTTCCCGTCTACATAGTAGTGATCTTGTTAGGTTATTTTTGTTAGGTACGCGACACGCCTATCAAGAAACTAGTGGTTATTACTTCTACAACCATCCTGAGAACAAGATATTTGCTGCTCGAGACAGTGTCTTTTTGGAAAAGGAGTATCTTTCCAAAATGACAAGTGGGAGGGAAATTGAACATGATGAAGTTCAAGAGGATGAGCAACAAAGTCAATCTGACGAAATTGACAATCAAAGTGCTTTAAAAGCAGTTGTTGGCATTGGTTAGAGTCAAACCGACAATGTGTAAAGTCAAAATGACAATGCAAATGCTTAGCCTATTACCTTGTGTTGGTCGCAAAGGCCAAGATCTCAACTAGACAGATACCTCGGTGTTGTCTTAACCCAAGATCAAGACATCCTAGTTGTGTATGGAGATGAACCAGCGACATAAAAACAAGCTATGACGAGCCTCGACCTCTGCAAAATGGCAAGAATCCATGAAATCCAAGATAGACTCCATGTTTGAAAATCAAGTCTGGGACTTGGTTAATTTTCCCGTAGGTTACAGACCTATCGGTTGCAAATGGATTTTCAAATTGAAAACCGACAAAGATGGAAATGTATACGTATACAAAGATAGATTGGTGGAAAAAGGTTACAGGAAAATTCACGGCATTGATTATGATGAAACCTTTTCACCAGTCGCCATGCTTAAGTCCGTCCGGATTATCTTAGCAATTTCCGCATACTATGATTATGAGATATGGCAAATGGACATCAAAACCGCCTTCCTTAATGGGTTTTTGGAATAAATTGTGTACATGACACAGCCGGAAGGTTTTGTTGATCCAAATAATGTTGGGAGGGTATGCAAGCTTTAGAAATCCATTTATGGATAAAAGAAGGCAAGTAGAAGTTGGAATCTGCAATTCGATGAAGCCATTAGTAAGTTTGGTTTTATTAAGAATCCAGATGAGTTTTGTGTTTACAAGAAAGTCAGTGGGAGTGACATTGCATTCCTTGTCTTATTTTTTAATGACATATTGCTCATTGGAAACAACATTCCAATGTTTGAGTCTGTAAAGACTTGGCTTGGAAAGTGTTTTTTAATGAAGGACTTGGGAAAAGCACAGTACATATTGGGCATCAAGATCTACCGGGATAGATCTTAAAGGATGATTGGATTGAGCCAAAGTACTTATATTGATAAGGTTCTAGCAAGATTCAACATGGAGGAAGCCAAGAAAGGCCACCTACCTATGTCACATTGCATAACTCTCAACAAGAAACAGTGTCCGAAGATACCTAATGAGCGAGAGAGGATGAGTTTGATTCCATATGCTTCTCTTATTGGATCAATCATGTATGCCATGATATATACTAGGTCGGATGTATCGTATGCCTTGAGTGCTACGAGCCGATACCAATCAGACTTAGGAGAGGCGCATTGGACTGCGGCCAAGAATATCCTACAGTACCTGAAAAGGAACAAGGATAAATTTCTGGTCTATGGTGGGAGTAATGATTTGGTTGTTGAACGTTATACCGACGCAAGCTTTCAAACTGACAGAGGCGACTTCAAGTCAACATCAGGATACGTGTTCTGTCTTACTGGAGGAGCGTTTAGTTGGAAGAGTGCTAAGCAAAGCACAACTGCAGACTCTACAACTGAAGCCGAATACTTGGCAGCTTCGGAAGCAACTAAGGAGGCAGTTTGGATTCGTGAGTTCATTGGTGAACTTGGTGTTGCCCGCACAATAAAGGGACCAATAGACCTCTACTGTGATAATAGTGGGGCTATTTCTTAGGGAGCCAAGGGAGCATCAAAAAGTCAAACATGTCATGAGGCGATTTCACATGATAAAGCAATGGAAGTCCGAGGGTGAAATTAGAATTTGCGAAATTGGAACGGACGACAATGTAGTCGATTTACTCACGAAAAATTGGCCTTAAGTAAAACACAACAAGCACGTTGAGGCAATGGGAATCAAGCACATTGGAGATTGGCTTTGAATTCCCTATTTGTGTGTT